TTAAAGAAACAAACATTACCACTTCACATCACAGTATTTAACACTGTACTGGAGATACTAGCCAGTACAATAAATTATTATTTTTTTTAATTGACAGAAAAAAATTACACTGTTATTATTCACAAATTACATGATTACATGTAGGAAAAAAAGAATCTATAGATATGTTATTAGTTTACTTATTCTTATGGAAATAAAGATCATTGTACAAAAATCAATTTTTTTATAATGAGTATTTTGTTTCTGTATAAAAATTGATTCTATTTTTATATAAAACAATCAATGAATTTTTGGAAAAGACACCATTTATAAGAACATTAAAAAATATCAAGGACTAATAATAAATCCACAAACAATATGCTAGTCTTTCTTGATGGAAACTAAAAAAGTTTATGTACTTAACCTAAATGATGAGGACACTTGTGTTAAAAAATTCAGAGATTCAACAGTGTAATCATAATTCAATACAATCTTAACTAAAATTCCAATAGGTTCATTGGTTTTCATTTATTTATTTTAGTGGAACTTTACAAGCTGATTTTCAAATTTGTGTAGATATATGAAGGGCCAAAAAGTAGCCAAGAAAAATTTTTTAAATGTACAGCTTTCCCTACATGGCAGACCATATAGAGGCAGTACTTCAGAGACATAGGGAAAATATTCTGTTAATAAATGTTGCTGAGATAAGCTGGTATAATATGCAATATAAATAAACAAACGAACAAACCTGGACTCCTAAATTATACTCTATGTAAAAAATCTATTTCAGGAAGATTTAAGAATTAAATATAAAAGGAAGAACAAAAAATTTTAGAATGTAACACAGAATACTTCCAAAATTTTGAAATAGAAAAAAATTCCTTAAATAAGATACAGAAAATACTAACTGCAAGACTAATAAATTTAAGTATATTAAAATTAGGCATTCTAACCACCAAATTCATCATTAAATGTGTGAAACAGCAAACCACAGAGAAGAAATATTTGAACCACTTATAACTGACAACAGACTTGATCTAGGAACATATAAAGTCCTAAAAATCATTAAACTAAAGCAAACAACCAAATGGAAAACAAGCAAAAAACTTCAAAAGAGAAAATCCAAATGGTCAACCATACATATGGAAAAGTGCACACCTCATAAGTCTTTGGGGAAATAAAAGAGAAAATGAGATTCAATTATAAATGACCAAATTGGCAAAAATTTTAAAATGTGACTATTGTAAGTATTGATGAATATGTGAAGGAATAAGAACTATCATACTGTAGGTATAAGTATAAATTAAGGTAAGCCCTCTGGAAAATAGTTGGGCATTACCTGGTATAGATTAAGATATCCACAGTCTATGACCCAACAAATTCTACTTCTAGAAAATATCCTAAATAAAAGTGCATACATGCATGCAGAACACATATAAAAGAAAGTCTGTAGGATTGCTATTTGCGATAATCAAGCATCAGAAACCATTCAGGCATCTATCAATAGAATAGGGAAATAAACTGATCTATAGACAGACAATGGAATATCATTCTGAAATAAAAATTAGTTAATTACAGCTACATTTTATAACATGAATGAATATTAAAAACGTAATATAAAACTAAACTATGGTATTTTGGGTGGGAGTAGTAGCTCACACCTGTAATCCCAGCACTGGGAGGCCGAGGCGGTTCAATCATCTGAGGTCAGGAGTTTGAGACCAGCCTAGCCAAAATGGTGAAACCCCACCTCTACTAAAAATACAAAACCTAGCCTGACTTCAAGTGATCTGTCCCCCTCAACTTCCCAAAGTGCTGGGATTACAGGCGTTAGCCACCAGGCCCGGCCTAGATGGTCAAACTCTAAACAAAATTATGCAATTATATCATTAATCAGGACAGTAAGTAGTTTGGTGGGTTGCTGTGGTTGAGAAAGACCATGCTAAGTAATTTCAGGATGGCAGCCAATGTTCTCGTTTTTGTCCAGAGTGGTTATTACAAAGCTGTTTATTTTCTAAGGTTTTAAAACCTCATTCATTTATGTTGTATGTACGTTGTCATATGTAGTATACTTCACAAAAGTTGTAAGAAAAAAAAAGGTCAACAAAATTTAGAACAATGGTCATTCTAAGGGGAGGGAGAAATCAAATTGAGGAAGGCACATTGTTTAGCTTCAAAGGTTACCAGGCTGTGATGTCTGATTTCTTTTTCAAGACAGAGTCTGGCTCCGTCACCCAGAATGGAGTACAGTTGCTTGATCTTGGCTCACTGCAACCTCCGCCTCCCAGGTTCAAGTGAGTCTTCTGCCTCAGCCTCCAGAGTAGCTGGGACTACAAGTGTGTGCCACCACGCCCATCCAGCTAATGATCCACCCACCTATATCTTCCAAAGTGCTGGGATTACAGCTGTGAGCCACCACGCCCAGCTGATGTCTGATTTCTTAAACTGACCAGCGGATATGCTTCTGCTCATTTTATTACTATATTTTATAGGTGTACTGTATTGTTTTGTAGAATGTCACCGAAAATACAATTGATAAAAAAATTTCATACACTGAAATTCATTGAAATTAAAAACTTTCACACTTCAAATGACACCATCAAGAAAGTAAAAAAGATAATCCATAGGAAGGGAGAAAGTATTTGTAAATCAGATAGCTGATTATTTTACAAATCCAGAATACATAAAGAACTCTTTCAATTCAATAACAAGAAGATTAATGATGCTATCTTTTTTTTTTCTTTGGGGGTTTTAAGGAGCAGAGAGTTTAATAGGCAAGAAAGAAGGAAAAAGAAAAAAGCAACTCCCCTGTACAGAGACAGAGGGAGGGGGGCTCCAAAGCCGAGAGAGGAGACCCCAAGTGTGGAGGATAACAGCCAGTTTTCTGAGTAGGCTGGGGGAGGTGGTGTCTGATTTGCATAGGGCTCAGGGGATTTTTTGACCAGGCATGTTATTCATGCAGTGCGTGAAAAAAACTGGCTCTCCCACCTTAACCTTTTAATATGCAAATACAGTGCGCTATGTTTTATACACGTGGGGATATGTGGGGGCAGCCATGTTGACAGGCACATGTGGAGTGTGTCCATGGGTGGTTCAGTTTGCCCCACCACTTGGAGTTTGATGGTTTCACACCAACGCTGTACCTTGGATTTTCCTGGCCCATGCACCAAATTATACAGCTCTGATGAGTGGAGGAACACCAGGGCTCTTGTCTCAAGCAAAGTGGATAAAACAACATGGACACACGTGGAGTGGTTTTAGGAAGTGAAGAGTTTAATAGACAAGAAACAAGGGAGAAGAAAGAAGGAAGAAGCTCCCCTGTACAGAGACAGTGGGAAGGGGGCTCCAAAGCCAAGAGAGGAGACCCTGAAAACTTTTTTTTCCTTTTTGAGACAGGGTCTTGCTCCCTTGTGCAGGCTGGAGTGCAGTGGCACAATCTCAGCTCACTGCAACCTCTACCTCCCAGGCTCAAACAATCCTCCCACCTTAGCCTCACAGGTAGCTGGGACTACACTAGGCACATGTAACCATGCCTGGCTAATGTTTTTGGTTTTGGGTAGAAACAGCATTTGTTATGTCCACCAGGCTGGTCTCAAACTCCTGAGCTCAAACAATCCTCCCATCTCAGCCTCCCACATTTTTGGAATTACGGTGTGGGCCAATCACCTGGCCAATGGCCAAAGATTTGAGTAGACTTTTCTCCAAAGAAGATATACAAAAAGATGTGCCAATAAGCACACCAAAAGATGTTCGACATCTACAGGTCATTAGGGAAATGCAAATCACTAAATGTGTCCTAAACAAAAAGATAATAGTAACAAATGTTCATGAGGATTTGGAGAACAGGAATTCTTATTCACTGCTGATGAGAATGAAAAACAGTACAGCCACATTGGGGAAAAAAAAGAGTTTAGAAGTCTCTAACCATGTTAAACACAGAGGTACCATATGATCCAGCAAATCCACTCTCAGGTATCTACCTAAGAGAGATGAAAACGTATGCGGACACAAAGACCTGTACATAAATGTTCATAGCAGCATTATTCCTAACAGCCCCAAAGTGGAAATGATCCAGCTGTTCATCAACTGACAAATGGATAACAAACTTTGCTATATCAATACAATGGAATACTATTTGGCAAAAAAAAAAAAAAAAAAAAGGAAAGAAGTATTGATACACACACAATATGAAAGAACCTGAAAAATGTATGCTTAGTGAAATAATCCAGACACAGAAAATCATATGGTAAATAATTCCATTTATATAAAATGTCCAGAATAGGCAAATCTCTACAGATAGAAGTAGGTTAGTCACTCCCTGGTGCTGGGTAGGAGTGACTGCTAATAGGTATAAGGAATTTTTTCAGGGTGTTGGAAATGTTCTAAAATTAGCTGTGGTGATACTTGCACAACTCCATAAATATACTAAAAACCACTAAGGTATACACTTATGTAAATTTTTTGATATGTAAAAATAAATAAATCTATAAAATTGTCAAGTAGGGCAGCTTCCTTAAATATTACTGCATTTTTCTGGGAAAAAAAGTCATTTAAAACTTTTAGAACTTGATCTTGCTCTATTGGCAATTTGGTTCCTTCCTGCCCCAATCCTTCTGCCTTTAAGAGAAGGAAAGTTCAGAGACATAGTAAATATCAGTGTCTTAAAAACACGAAAAAGTATAAATCTTCACAGATTAAAAAAAAATCCTCAAATGACTGAGAATCTTTCTTAGGGCAGATAAAGAATAAAACGTTTAAAAAATAAAGAAATAAAATATGTAAAATGAGGCAATTTTCAAAACTCTGAATGACAGAATACAGGACTTTCTCCCATAAACCTTGAGGTAATTGTTTTAAAAACTAGTAGAAGATAGTTGATAATCTGGAAACTTTAATGTTTTCATAAATAAAACTGAGGTCTTTTGCATCAGCTGAGATAATCATCTCAGATATTTAAGGGCATATCCTTGTAAATATTTGTCTTTCTAGAAAAAAACATTCTGTAGGAGGACTGTTTTTACCGTTGATGTGAGGAGGAAACTGCCAGGCCTTGTTAGTTGAGGGACCGATGTCCCCGCGATTGCCATGGCAACAGTCTGGCTTATCATACTTCCACTCTCACTTTCATAGTCATCAGGGGCTATACAAATTGGTCTTCCACGTTGATTGTGAGTTTCTAAAGAAAAATAATCCAAAAAAATAAATAAAATTGTTTAGTGAAACTAGCAAACTAAACACTTATTGAGCACGCAATTCCTTTTCCTATTCTCTACTATTCTTTAAAAGAATAACCTGTTAACATGTAATAGTTATTAGATTTACTTCCTTTAGATAATATTTTAAATACCTTTAATATTGACTCGTTGCTATGGTAATAATTTATAGTTTAAAGAGAACGTTAAACTTATAGTTAATAATTTATACTTAAAGAGAATGTTCTTTGCTCGTCAAAGAACATATAAGAATATAAACATTTCTGCCTTCAGTAAGAAAATTCATTTTAGTGATCAAAATACTAGAAAGACTGCTCAACTATCAGTCTCTTAAAAGCAAATAGTTGGTTGTCTTTGTAATACCAGCACCTATCAAAGTTCTTAATACACATTAGATAGTCAGGAAATGTTTGTTTTACTAAACTGGAAGCACTTTATTGGGCTAATTGCTAGTTTAAATTCCCTCATTTGCCCTAAAGAAAATATTGTTGCAAACTAAATTCTCTAATTCTATAAATTCTAAATATGGAAAGCATGAGCAATAAAACTTTGTAGTAGACATTTTGAAGAATTAATATCACTTCAACTTATTAACCTGGTGTTAGCAATAAACATAATTCTTGATATTCAAGTGAATATTCATTTCAATTATATATATGAATAAAGCAAAAAACTGAGGGTGATAAACATCTGTTAGGTTTTCTTGTAGTTTTTCAGATGTATACTGTATGTTCACATAAACATTTCCTAAAATGTACATATAAAATTGCTATAAAACCATTATTTTAAAATTCATCATAAGAACTACTTAGAGCAATCTTACAGTGAATTCTCTCACACAGTCAAAGGATTTCTGGCAACATAGTTAAATGTTTATGGTTTACTTTTATCAGTGCACAATGCTTGTTTTCCTAAAATAAGATCTTCGACCTTGAGATATTTTCTGAAACTTTTAAACACTGAGCTTTGCCTTTAAAATTTGTCTTAATTCTACTAGGTACCTGTAAAATCATACAGCTGAGGTACAGTTTCCATGATAATACCAATCAGAGGTAGATACAACATGGCCACTCGAGCCTTTATCTGGGGGTCAGAGTACCGTGGGTCTGAGTCGTGACTGGAAAGTAAATTGTGTACCATATTGATGACTTTCTTATGCAATCCAAACAGTCTATTTAAAAAGAAGAAGAAGAAGAAGAAGAAGAAAAAGAAAGCAGTCAGGCCACAGAGATTATCTAATATTTTTAAAACAAACAGGAAGTCATGGTACTGAATAGATATTGTTCAGTTTCTTACCTTTGTCATATATTTGCATGCATTCCATTCCTATAAAACATTTCTCATTTTAAAACAAATTACATGTATAAAAATGTAAAAAATGTGTAAAACAAGAATTGAAGAAAAGGAAATGCTATACAAATTCACTTAGAAGTAAATCTGAATATTTTTATATTAATTCCGTATTAGTGTATTTGATATAAAGAAACTAAGACCACTTATAGTTACATTTTGAAACTAAACAAGGTAAACTTTAAAATGGTATAAATGCTATTTCATCAAATCAGATCTTTTCACATTTACCAAAAATGAATTATTCCCTTTTTCCGAAAGAAAAATCCCCTACCTAATGGATTATGCAGCCCACAGGCTGAGGTTGCCTTTGAAATCTCTATTTAAACTGTACTTCTTTGCTCATATACCTCATTTGGGCCCTTACAACTTTTTTAGACTCCCACCCCCTCCCGCCAGTATCAAGTGGGCTAATACACTAACAAGGGTCACTTTCACATTTTTGTCTCTTCTTAAACTGACAGCACTTTAACTATGGAAACCATTCTAATTTAAAATTCATCTACTCCAACTTCAACTGGCCCTTAATGCTGCATCCAACAGCAGTTTCAATCTCACTTTCTCTCCTTAAGCCTCTTTCTATCAATCACAACAGAAGACCTTACTTCCAACTTCTCTTAGGAAAGAAGAGCCATTCTGAATTTGCTCTGGCCAGGTCTTTTAACACAACTTTATCTTTACAGCTAACAAATAATCTGTCCTTTTTGTCTCAGAAGTGTACCATCTCACAGAAAATAATTTCTCCGTATGTTCAATGAACCCCATCTTTTTTCAACGGCTTCAATGTCTCTCCTCATCTAGTACTTCCCTTCTTTCTTCAAATGTGTCTTTCCTATCTTGAAAATACATTATCACTTTAAAAGTTGACATTAGAAAACAGGTAGTCTTCCTCCAGATCCCTTGATTGTATCTGCCATTTTACAAAGCTGTATGTGAAATCTAGATGGGGATTCTTTCTTCTCTCTTCGAGCTCTTTATTCAGAAAGTATACTTTTTTATAGAGGCTTTAAAATACATGACAGCAAACAGCTGAGAGAGATGGCCACACACTCTCAGACTACAACATTCAGAAAGAGTCTGCCTGCACTTGGTGCTCTGCCTGCGAGGTGGCACCACTGAGCCTTGCCTGTACCAGCTCACCCAGAAACACAACTGCGACAAGATGATATGCCTCAAGAGTTATGCTCACCTGCATAACCTCTGTGCTGTACCTGCCACAAGAAGTACAGCCACACCCAACACGCTGCACCCCCCAAAAGGAGGTCAAATAAGGCACCTCGCCTGGCTCCTCCTTCTCTCTCTGGGTGGCCTCCTGCCCAAACCCCATGGCTCTGGGACCGCAATGATGTTTCCCATTTATTGACTAGTGGGTAGAGGGAGACGTGGTGGGCAGAAAGTGTACGTTTAAACATTGTCAAGAACCATCTAGTGAACCTATCTCAGATCTCACTCTCCAGCTCTACTTGACACTTTGTCATCTTATATATTTTCTTCTCAGAATTTTCTCCAGTAGTTCCCACCCTTCCCCAGACTCCCCAACGTTATTCTCAAGGCTCAGATTCTGGTCAGTTGCTTTTCACATTCTCCTCTTTGACTTCCTGTATCACTCACTACTAATGATTGCCAAAGGTATTCCTTATCTCTCAGCAGCCTCCAAACTCATACTTCAATCTATCTAAACTCTATCTTCATAAAGCCTTTTCATATGTTTACATTGCTCAATCCCATTCAGTTATTAAATATATATTAATGCAAGATCTGTAATATCCTATTCTAGATGTTGGAGATAAGACATTGCCTCTGTTTTTAAGGAGCTCACTTTAGCAAGAGAGAACCACAGACACAAAAATAAAAATTCTCCAATACTTCAAAGAATTCCGCAATTCTTTATAAATGCTATAATAACAGAATATAAATCCTCTCATCTTCTAAAGAACTACGTACTACAAAACGAACATTAATCATACTGTACCATTTTGCAGTCTTTCTAATTATAATGAAAGTTTCTAAAGAGCAAATCTTTGGCTAATTATAGAACATATGATTGCCACTTAAGGAATTATTCTTGATTACGTAGCAAGCATGTGGATTAAAAGACAAACATTCCTCTCAAGGATCTAAGACAATGCTGCATATACTATATATACCTCTCAAGACAGTAAAATTTAAAGATGAGGTGAGTTTCTTACAATCATTCATTCGTCAAATTAATATACATTTCCAAGTGTCTACTTGTGCTGGACACAATACTAAGGCACTGGGAATACAGCACTGAACAAGAAAGACAAGATGCCTGTTCTCATGCTCTCACATGCTCACATTCTACTATGAGAAGACAGATAATAAGCAAATTTCAGATAAGTGCCTTGTAGAAACTAATACAGGGTTATATGACTGTGACATGGGCAACACAGCTGTTATTTATTTATTTATTTGTTTATTGGACAGAGTCTTGCTCTGTCACCCAGGCTGTGGCGTGATGTTAGCTCACGGCAACCTCCACCTCCCAGATTCAAGCAATTCTCTTGCCTCAGCCTCCTGTGTGGCTGGGATTAGAGGGGTGCACTACTTCGCCCAGGTAATTTTTGTATTTTTAATAGAGACGGGATTTCACCATATTGGCTAGGACGGTCTCGAACTCCTGACCTCAACTGATCTGCCCACCTCAGCATCCCAAAGTGCTGGGATTACAGGCATGAGCCACCATGCCCAGCTTAGTGTGTGTGTGTGTGTGTGTGTATTTACTTAATTTTCTTGAGACGGTCTTGCTCTGGCACCCAGGCTGGAATACAGTGGTGTCATCATTGCAATCTCAACCTCTTGGACTTAAGCAACCCTCCCACCTCAGCCTCCTGAGTAGCTGAGGGACTATAGGCATTCACCATCAGGTCTGGCTAATTAAAAAACATTTGGTAGAAATAGGGTCTCACTATGTTGCCCAGGCTGGTCTTGAACTCCTGGACTCAAGCAATCCTCCTGCCTCAGCCTCGCAAAGTGCTGGGATTGCAGGCATGAGCCCCTGCACCTAGCCAACATGACTATAATTTAGGTTGGGTAGTCAGTGAAAGTCTCACTGAGAAAATGCTCTTTGAACAGATACCTGAAGAACCACAAGCAAGAAATGACTATGTGAACATCTGAGGGCTGTTCCACAACCTTCAAGAAGAGAAAAATCCAAGTGCAAAGTCCTGAAGGTGGGAATGAGCTTGGTGCATTAGAGAAACAGAATGTAGGCCAGCATGGCTAGATCTTAGTATGTGAGGAGGAACAGAGTGGCAGGAGTAGATAAAAGCCACATATATAGGGCCTTAAGTACCCATAAATGGCAGCTATATGCAAGACCATCTTGTAGTCAGTCATGAGAGGCTCCAGCCTTAGGATAAAGCTGACACTTCCAGCAGAGGTAAGAAATGTAAAGAACTAGAATCATGATGATATCATTGAACTGATGATATTACCGTGCTAAAAATCCTATCTTTCGAGGGTTTGTCTGCTCAAAGCCCTCCTCCCTCTATATGAGGGAGCAATTTTCTTCTTTCTTTCCTCTTTCTTGGCCATTAAACTTTCTGCTCCTTAAAACCAAAAATAAAAATTAATAAACAATAAAAATCCTATCTTTCTTCCAATTCTGAAATAGTAAATTTCCTTCCTTTCATAAAGCCAGCTGGAAGAAAAATTTTATTTATTGTAGCCAAAAACACCTTCATATACCAAGTAAAAATATTGAAAATATAGATTCAAATCAGTGAGCAATACCAGTTATTTTAAAAAGCTAATATGTTCAGATAAGTTGTTTTTAGAGTGTTTTTCCCCCAAACAATTGATCCCTTTATTTATTTTTTTAGTGACATCACACTCATTTGTCAAATGGCAAAATATGAAAGTGGCAGCAAGCAGGGGTAGAAGACCCAGAGTTTCACCCATTTAGTCTGCCCTCTCTATACTCGAAAGTCTGCACACACTGCCCACCCCAATCTACATGGAAACCCATTAAGCCCCTCTTCAGAACCCTATAGTTCTGCAGAACACAGGGTAAAAAACTACTTCTTTAAAATAGATTCCAAACTTAGGAAGTTGCCGTAATAAAAAACACATGCCTTTCACTTGCAGATCTGGCCTTTCACAATTTATTCAGTATTAACTATGTTCCTGACATTTTGTTAAGCACTTGACATACCTCCTCCTTTATTCATTCAATATATTTATCAGAAGACCCTTATAAAAACCTGTTTAAAGTATCTCTTTTTGTTCTCTGGAGTTCTTGCATGAGGCTAAACTGCATTATAAACTTGTATTATCACTACGAGAAAAAAAAATTTAAGCCATATGAGTTATGGTCATACTATTAAGATGGGCTTATCCCATATAGGATGCTGGACCACAACACATCAAGCTATTTCTTTTTTGTTGAGACAAAGTCTTGCTCCGTCGCCCAAGCTGGAGTGCAGTGGTGCAATCTTGGCTCAAATGCAACCTCCACTTCCCGGGTTCAAGCAATTCTCATGCCTCGGCCTCCCGAGCAGCTGGGATTACAGGCAAACACCACCATGCCTGGCTAATTTTTGTTATTTTTAGTAAAGATAGGGTTTTGCCTTGTTGGCCAGGGTGGTCTTAAACTGACCTCAAGTGACCTGCCTGCTTTGGCCTCCAAATGTGCTGGGATTATAGGTGTAAGCCACTGCGGCCAGTCACATCAAGCTATTTCTCGAAATTCAAATCATCAGGCCAGGCACAGTGGCTCACACCTATAATCCCAGCATGTTGGGAGGCCAAGGCGGGCTGATCACTTGAGGCCAGGAGTTAGGAAACCAGCCTGGCCAACATGGCAAAACCCTGTCTCTACTAAAATTACAAAAATTAGCCGGGTATGGTGGCACACACCTGTAGTCCCAACTACTCTGAAGGCTGAGGCAGGAGAACTGCATGAGCCTGGGAGGCAGAGGCTGCAGTAAGCTGAGATCATGCGCTGTGGTCCAGCCTGGGTGAGGGTGACAGAGTGAGACCTTGTCTCAAAAAAAAAAAAAAAAAAAAAAAATCACATCACCAGACAATATACTTTTCTAACTACATCAATTTCCAAACATCTTTTAAAAATGTATACAACTTTGGAAGTTTTTAAAACCTAACAATATTTGTTTATAAGGCAATTTTTGAAATAAAATCCTACACAGTATGATGGCAAATTATAAATTTTTGGCTGGGCACACTGGCTCACACCTGTAATCTTAGCATTTTGGGACACTGAGGTTGGTGGACCACCTGAGGTCGGTGGACCACCTGAGGTCAGGAATTTGAGACCAGCCAGGACAACATGGTGAAACCCTATCTCTACTACAAAAAGAAAAAAATTAGCTGGGTGTGGTGATGTGTGCCTGTAGTCCCAGCTATTCGGGAGACTGAGGCAGGAGAATTGCTTGAACCCAGGAGGCAGAAGTTGCAGTGAGCCGAGATGGCGCCACTGCACTCTGGCCTGGGTGACAGAGCAATACTTTGTCTCAAACAAACAAAACCAAGACAAATTTTCCTGACAAGGAATCAAATTAAAGGCCACTTTCCTCATGTGAAAAGCACTTACTTTATACCAACAAATCTATCTACTAGTATGCTCAATTTATTTTATATTCTATTAAGAAGAAAAAAAATGCTACCAAATGAATCATAATATGCCATTAAGACAAATCCCAAATTCAGAAGTGGCAAAATATGAGAAAAAGTCTTTCATAAAACGGATTAACTAGAGAAGTAACATAAGTGAGAAACATAGTGAAGAGAGAAGTAGAAAAAGAGTATGAGGCCAGGTGCAGTGGCTCACGCCTGTAATCCCAGCACTTTGGGAGGCAAAGGCAGGTGGATCACAAGGTCAAGAGATCGAGACCATCCTGGTCAACATGGTGAAACCCCATCTCTACTAAAAATACAAAAAATTAGCTGGGCATGGTGGCGCGTGCCTGTAATCCCAGCTACTCAGGAGGCTGAGGCAGGAGAATTGCCTGAATCCAGGAGGCGGAGGTTGCGGTGAGCCGAGATCGTGCCATTGCACTCCAGCCTGGGTAACAAGGGTGAAACTCCGTCTCAAAAAAAAAAAAAAAAAAAAAAAAGAAAGAAAGAAAGAAAAAGAAAAAGAGTATCAAAGATTATTTTTCTAATTCTTAGGAAATGTGAGTAGAATATTTCTGTCTACTGTTCAAAATCAAACTCATATTCTATAAGGTAAAAACTGGTCTACTCACCCTTCAGCATCAGGGTCTAAAATGACAGCCAACTCTGTTAACACAAGTCCTGCCAAATAATGCTGTTGGCGGAAAGGCACCGACAATTCAAACATATTTGCAATCTTCTGGTCTTGTACATTCGTAGAAAATCCAGAACTCTGTTAGAGAGTGAGGCAGAACAAGACTATAGTTAACCACTGTTTTATATTGGTGGTTAACTATTCTTATATAACCACTGTTTTGTATTAGTGGTTTATTTCTTATATTGCTCTGTCTGTAGGATGTTTTATTTGCACTGCAAACAAAACATCCTACAGACAGAGCAATATAAGAAATGAAATATTTTTTCCTAGGGTGGTTCATTTTATATTACTAACACTGAAGAAAGCAACTGCTCAGACTTTTGGGACAGGAAACTATGATGAGATTATTAATTACTTTATTACAGAAATTAATCATTGAAAACTTAATTTTCCATTTCTTTTTTCACATAGAATTTCCTATATATTTTCCCATTCATTCTTTTAGTCACTTGATGTTTCAATATCACACTCTGATGGAAAAAAGAGGCAACTAAATCCAAATAACATAGTAGCACTCACCTCAAAGTACAAGAGAAATATTCATAGTTACGGCAATTGATTTCCAGAGAAATTCTAAACACCAGTACAGTTGTTTTTCACAGAATATACTATCTCTGGAAAATTACCATCATTTTGTTGTCTACTGAGTTTTTTTTAACGTTTTAATAATGCAAAATATTATAGCATTCTCCAAGATACAGTCCATATTCAAGACTCATGTGGGGTTTCTTAGAGCAACAACAGATTTCACATTTCCCTATATCATCTCTTAATAAAAATTTAAAACTCTTCTTAGCCTTTCGAAAAAAGAGTGATGTCTCTGTTATCTAGCAGAATGTGAAAATTATGGAGCTAGCTGAGAAAGTAGGCACTAAGATAACAGAAGAACTTCTATGAGCATTTCCTGGCTGAATGAGATGCTCAGTAAGTAGTCAGATACAAACAAATATGTCTCCTTAAGGGTTTTAGCAATCATATTTATGCTTAATCTGTTTCTGTGTAGCTACATTTTTGGCAGAGGATTAAGAAAGAAAGAAAAAGGCCAGCCTCATTCACTACACTGAGGGTGTGCTAGCCAGATTGAACAGTTTGTGGAAAAATAGGATCCAGAAGATTTTTTACAAAGATAAAATGAAAAGTTGTGGGTACTCTTTGATGTTTTCTAATCTTTCTAACTGAAATTTAACTTTTGTTTTTTAAATCAGGCATATGAGATATCGCCTATGGAATCCTATTCAGGAATTAAATATACTGAAAACAAAATGAAGAAGTACTAATATTAACTTTCACTTTAAAAATTAAGAACTTAATGAAAGTAGCCTCCTTGCCTCAGAAATAATAAAGTAGAAAGAGTGTTTCACTGGACAAAGAAAGATACACACTTCTCTGATACTAAAAACCATAAAATCTCTTAATTTCAACTTATAAAAGAAGACATATATATTAACTGTTACAATAACACTTTTTATCTGTAGAGAACCTACTAGCTGTTGAAATCAATTGCCAACCAGTGAAACACCTATCAATTTTCATCTAGTTTCCTTTAGGGTTTCTGGATACAAGAGAGTTAAGCAGGGCTTTGTTATGCCTTCACTGCAGTTTGACTTCTCTGTTCAATTAATCTTCACCACTTCCTTCCTTTCACAGGTATGGATCTCTAAAAAATATTTTGCTTAAGACTCATTCTTGGTGTCTGCTTCAAGAGAACCCAATTTGGGTAAACATCTAAATTTGTGAGTTTATTTAGGTGAATTCATTCACATGTGCATAATAAATCTGTGAAAGGAATACAAAACAGTGGTTAAGAATTTGGGCTCTAGAATAAAGCCTTGGTTCAAAGCCTGGCTCTGCCACTTTTTACTCAGTGGCCTTTCTGTGTTTCTGTTTTTTCTAATCTACAAAATGAGTATAATAGTAGACTTGCCTTCTACAGTTATTCTGAGGATTAAACAAGTTGATACTTACAAAGCACTCAGAACTGAGCCTATCATACAGCTATTACTCGATTCATTTGTTTTACGTTCTTCTTCACAAAGGTGACTTTAAATATACGTGTGTTCACACAATTTGCATACCTGAGATGTTGCAGAAGAAACAGAAGGTGATGGAGATGCAGGTGGAGTAAGTAAGCTACAGGGTAAGTTTAATGTAACATAATGCTCATGACTGCAGATGATTCGCAGAAAATCCAGCCTCAAGGACACCAGAACACTCGGATTCGGTAATGAGTAAAGCTTTGAAGACACCTTGTAAGCATTGCATAAGAGAACACCAGTTAAATCTATTATTTCTTTAATACTAATACCAGAACGGCAAATTAGAATTAAATAGTAGTACTTGGTATCCAGTTTGGGTTTTGTGGCTTAAATAATAGTATCACCTTCTTCCACAGTTGCTGCTAAAATTAAAAATTCAAAACCATAAGGTTTACTATATAAATACATATCTGACTAACCTAAAAGTCACATTCTTGTATTTCCAATATAGCATCAATATTTCTACTTCTCAAAAAAAAACAGGAAAAACATATACTACCAAAATAACTTCATATTACTTTCTTAGAAGAAATTATCAATTCTATTTATAATTTGTCTGTTTTCTCAGCTACATCAAGAGCTACTTGAGGAGACATACTACAAACTGATTTAATAGTTTTAGTATCCCTACAGCTTAGTTCAATGTTTGGCAAATATAGGTCAGTGTTTAAAGAATAAAGACAGGACAAATTCTGGTAGTAATAGTACATAAAGTTTTGGGGAAAAAGTAAAAATGATACATATAGTGTTGGAAGTATTTCTATGTGGGTGAGTGCCCATGCATAGTTTTAACTTTTCTATTAGAAGAAACAAACAATAAAGGCATCTAATAGAATATTCAAAATTCTAAATATTAGACTACCAAATAGAACTCCGGACTATTAGTTCCCCAAAATTAATCTGCAGACCAGCTGTGAGGTGCTTCACAAGCACTGTGTGCTCCTCACCCCCACCACCATGAGAAGTTTGAACTTCTCAATAATTCTGGAATGGGACTCAGAGATCTGTATATTTTTAAAGCGCCTTTAAAAGGTAATTCTGAAAGGCCTATACAGCTTACTACCAAAGTGGTCCATCAGAACCATTAACTAATGTTTTCCAGAAAGCAGACTTCACTCATTAGTTGATAAAAATTTTAAAACAAAATCAGCTATGTGTGGAAAAGTTCCAGGATGCTTTTAATTTAGTAAAGTCAAGATAATGAACAACATTTGGCAAACGGGTAAACATCTGTCCATAATTTCAAACTCTACAATTTCCAGGGCTGGATTAGGAGGAATACCAAGCAAAATGCAGCTGCTTTAAAAATCACTCAAGATACAAAGTCCACTCCATATAAATGCTCCACTTGTATGACATCTTGAGACTGTGTTACATTACTATTGACTTGATGGTATAATCCAGAATGGGAATTAAAGAGTCATAAGTAGGCCTGTATAACTCAAGGAAATACTGGCTGTACTGACAGCAGCTTGCCACAGTCCTTGTGTCGTGATAAAACAAATATAATTTATTTTTGCCTTGCTAATAAAAATACGTTCCTTTAGGCTGCTTTTTGTTTTAACATCAGTATATGAATGTGCTCTTGAAGGTCTTTTAGCTCTAACTTTGAAAAGAACTAACATAGTATTTAAACTACTTGATTACTAATAATTCCTAACTATGTATTTATTACCTGTTTATAGCAGGACTTTATAAGGCTAAAAACAAATCCTCTGTCCATAACAGACAACAGATCATTGAGAAAGAATGCAAGGCTTGTATTGAGTCTCTCAACCATTTCTGTGTCCTGTGAAACAGAATATAAAACAAAAACAAATTAAAGTATGATAGTTTAATCTGAACTTGACAGAGAGATTAAGTGGGGGAAAAGTTATCATTACCTTCTGAAATCGCGAAACTATATCACTAGCAATCGTGCTGACAAGAGCTGCAATGTCATCCATGAAACGTTCTGGAAAACGACTTTTCCTTGGAGCATCAAGTTTATCATTAAAGTATAAATGATGCACCATGCTCTTTACCTGAAAAAAAGATAAAAATTATCAGTTTAACTTCCTATAAATATAATTAACAATTACAACTCTAAACACTTGGACTATTTTAAAAATATAGCATGTAGTTTAATAGATGAATGAAATACTTTTAGCTTCTTAAATATTGTTTAAAGTTCCCTATGATGTTTTGTATTTGCCAAAAAAATTTTTTAAAAAATCAAACACAATACAACTCCATCACCATATTACCCTCAAAAAATTATCCTAACAATAGGACAAAAAATTCTGTGTATGTCAACAAAAAAGAAATTTCAACCTTAAAGGTTTTTTTTTTTCTTGAGACAGTTTCACTCTTGTTGCCCAGGTTGGAGTGCAATGATGCGATCTTGGTTCACTGCAACCTCTGCCTCCCAGATACAAGCGATTCTCCTGTCTCAAGTCTCCCAAGTAGTTTGGATTTCAGGCATGCGCCACCATGCCCAGCTAATTTTTTGGTATTTGGTAGAGATGGGGTTTTACCATGTTAGTCAGGCTGGTCGCGAACTCCTGACCTCAGGTGATCCACCAGCCTCAGCCTCCCAAAGTGCTGGGATTATAGGCATGTGCCACCATGCATGGCCCCAAGTTTTGTTTTTTGTTTTGTTTTTAAAGAAACAAGGTCTCACCCTGTCACACAGGCTGAAGTGCAGTGGCATGATCATAGCTCACTGTAGCCTCCAACTCCTGGTCTCAAGTGATCCGCCTGCCTCAGCCTCCAGAGTAGCTAGGACTACAGGTGCACACTATCATGCCCAGCTAATTTTAAAATTTTTTATAGAGACAGGGTCTGGCTATGTTGTCCAGGCTGGTCTCAAACTCCTGGCCTCAAGTGATCCTTCTGCCTAAGCTTCTCAAAATGTTGGGATTACAGTTATGTAATCTACCACATCCAGCCTAAAAAAATGTAATTAAATTTTTCCAAGATTCAACAATTTTGCCATTCCAAAGCTCCCAAACTGTAAGCTTTGAAAGGTTAGAAACCCTGTCTTCACTATAGTGTCCTCAGTAGCTAATACATAGATGATGGCATACAGTAAGAATACAATAAATATTTGAGGACTATATTGTATTGTATTTATATTGAATATTATACAGATTCTTTACTGTAACACTGTGGTAACAGTAATAAAGATTTTAAACTTTAAATTCAGGTAAATTGAAGCTAAAGTCCTATACTTAACATCAAGCCCAGCCAAGTTTTAAATTGCAGTCTTTTGACGATTTTGTATTTTAGAAACCTAAACATATATGTAAGACTATTAAAAAACAGTTGAAATTACAATTTTTACCTTACAAGAGAAGCACATGAAATATAAATTTAAGGTTTATTTTCTGGGAAGAAAAAATGTGTTGTCACTTATATATAGTTCCTGATTTATTTTTTCTGTAGATTATTAAATCTCTAGAAGAAATGTTTTCTTACTCATAATATATGTAGCATTCAATGCTGAGGACCACCCTATGACATACTTTGGAAGATTCTTTTCTGTTTTCCTGTTTTTAGTTGTTTTGTTTTACATTTTTAAACATACTTCTTCTTTGGGAGAAAAAGTTTCAATGATTTCAGCTTTCTAGAGGCTGAAGAGGAAGGTGAAGAAGACAGTCCCAAGTGCTGGAATGCCTGAGTTTGAATCACAGTCCTGCTACCTACAGGCTGTGCATATTAAGACATGTTAACCTCTCTGTTCTTTAGTAATACCTAGGCCACATGGCAGTACTAGCATATTGTGCCCACTTAATAAATGCTTGTTGCCTTTGTTTACATATGCGTATGTTTACATATACAAGTTTATATATACAGGTGACTCTTGAACAGCACGGGTTTGAACTGCATGAGTCCACTTATATGTGGGTTTTCTCCCACCTGTGCCTCTCCTGAGACAGCAAAACCAACCCCTCCTCTTCAGCCTACTCAATGTAAAGACAATAAGAATGGAGACATTTATGATGATCCACTTCCAATTAATGAACAGCAAATATATTTTCTCTTCCTTATAATTTTCTTAATAACATTTTCTTTTCACTGTTTATTCTAAGAACACAGTATATAATACAAATAACATACAAAATATGATTATGTTATCAGTAAGGCATTTGGTCAACAGTAGGCTATTAAGTAGTTAAGTTTTGGGTGAGTCAAAAGTTATATGCAGATTTTGACTGTGTGGGGTACTTCGTTCCCCTAAACCCCATGTTTTCAAGGGTCAATTGTTCATATATATGTATTTACTAATTAAAATATTAATTCACTCATTTTAAAAAGTATCATTTATTTGATTACGCAAAAAGTACTTAAAAAAAATAAAAGAGACAGGATCTTCCTCTGTCATCCATGCTGGAGTACAGTGGTGATCACAGCTCACTGCAGCCTCAAACTCCTGGGCTTAAGCAAGTTCCCTCCTCAGCCTCCCAAGTAGATGGAACTACAGGTGTGTGCCACCAGCCCTAGCTAATTAAAAAAAATTTTTTTTGGTAGATATGGGCTCTTGAGGTGTTGCTCAGGCTGGTCCAAACTCCTGATCTCAAGTGATCCTCCTGTCTCAGCTTTCTAAAGTGTGGGGATTACAAGTGTGAGCCACTGCATCCAGCTAGTACTGTTGTGTTTTTTATTGGCTGTAACTGGCATTTCCCTAAGAGTTTACTAGCCATAATAATGGCAGTGGGTATCTATAAAGCTTTTTTATATCTTTGGTATAAAATCTACAATACTGTCATTATATACTTGCATGTATAATGACTAGCAAAGAATGTATCACAAGTTTCCTTTGAAAAGACAGCTAGCTGATACAACCATCCCTGAGAAAACAGAGTTAAAATGAGCCTCACTCTTTATAATTCCACCTAAACTGTGCTGTGTCCACAGCGTCTTATCTAGAGATGAAACACATGTAATTTTGTCTTGAAGGCACATGTAAAAGCATAAGATGTGCAATAGAAAAAGATGTCTAAGATAACAAATGAGCTAGCATAAAACTGTTCACTAAGAGAAAAAATATTAAAGAACGTGCGCAGTTTTTGCTCACCATTAACTCAAAAAAGAACCAGGCTTGTTGCAAAGCTGATTCCCGAACGCTGCCACTGCAAACAACCCACTGCAAAGCCAGCTCCTCATGAAAAAGCTATCCAGAAGTAAATCCAAAGTTATTATCAAAGTCAAATCTGCTGATAACATAAACCAAATAATAATGCAAATACAAATGAAGATATAATGCGAATAAGCAAAATAAGGTGCATGAACCATTCAATGATGTGTTGAAGACACCCATTAACGAAACGGCTATTTATGCATGTAAGACGGTGGAACGTGGAACAGCTGAAAAAATTACATGTTATCTTGCTGTAAAATGTAATTTTAAAAGGACAGGTAGAAGATAGCCTCCTAAATTGTACCTGCAAACAGAAACTAGACTAAAAACTTACAGTAATACCTTGTTTGTAACTTAAGTACACTTTTTAACATATGCAAATACACACGTGAATTTTGCTGGTACAATTTAGGAAATACATTTTAAAATTTAAACTTTGCTATGAGGCATTAATTTTCAAGTTTTCAGTTAAGGCATTTTTAAAAAAAAAAAAGCAGAAGATTTCTGCCTTATAATGGATATGCATACAAAGCATTTGCAAAATAGTGTATATTAATATGAAAAAGGACTAACAAAACTGTGCATACGGGAAGCAAATCAACATATCTTACTAAGAGTGACAATTTTTCTAACTCATCTTCCTTTCCCTGGAGATTTAAAACACAAAACAGAAGCAGTTACAGAAATAGAATTAAGAATTGATACATCTTTTTGGTACTAAAATTTGATGATCAAATTTGAATTCACTAAATTCTAAAAACAGTCAATCCCAAAGATATAAACATTAACATAATATAAAATAGTCTACACTGCCAAGGTATGCCCCAAAAGGCATCAGACAAGCAATGCTTGCTCAGACATATTTTTAAGCACAATGCAATTACTGTAAATATCTCATCCTGGCTATGTAAATAAATCTTACATCTATTTAATTGGTGAAATTATTTTACCCCTCTATTTGTCTTCGTATGAATCTACCTTTTTAGTTGGTAAGCGTCCCGTTAATGTTTGTAAGAAACTTGACGTCTCTGTGTGCGAAGACATACGATTACAACTTCGATCCATAGCCTATGGAGTGAAGATGAATGAATGACGAGATAACATTAACATTTGCAGTGGATGATTTTGCAGCTGACGGATTATGTACAAGTTTAAAATAGAGTTTTATTATGGTTTCGAAAACCACCTATTTTATTGCTCTCATTTTCACCATTTTAAGCTGCTTTAATGACAGTACATAAGTAGTATCAAAATGGCTTCTATATATTTTTGGTCTTTAAAAAAAGATGAGTATTTCAATGATTATGTAATATTCAGAGTGCTGCAAAGAATGAAACTTTTATCTGTGTGATCTATACACATGCACATATCTAGTAAAAATATATATAAAGTAAAAACATACTTCTCAACTGATCTCAGACCAAAAAAGAAATCAATTTATTTATATTAAATAAAGAAAACAAAAAGTTTAAAATAATTTATCTTACTTTTTCATTATTATCAGAAACTACCATTCAGGTTTGTCATATACTAAATCAAATATAAATCACTTATAATAATAGATATGGAATTAAAAATTTTTTTAAGAACAGAATTTTCCTTCAAAGCCAACACAGATGAGAAGTATATTTTGAGGTATCATGCAGTATTAGCTATCAAGCAACTAGTCTTAAGAAAGCAAAACTAATTCAGCTAAGGTATAACAAATTTCATACTTTGCAACACAGTACAAATTAAAACAAATTTTTGCTTCTGGTATTGAATCTTACAGCATGGGATCATATAGTGTTCACATTTCATTTCAACTTATTGCCAGTCTTTCTATTCAGTGACTACGAAGAAAATAAGATAGTAAATGTTAAATGAAAATGATATAATAGTTACACTTTTAACCAAAAGCAAATATAAAACTGATGGGTTTTTTTTCTCCACATAAAAAATTAAAAATTGCTATTAAAGATGTGCTACCCCTAAAGAAGAAACTGTTATAAAAGCCATCAATTGCATAAGCAGCAGGCACTGAAATACTGATACAGTGTGTAAGGAAGAAGGCAGAGATAGGAAATAGGAAAGAAGAACATTACTGATGCAATTGGTGGTATTCATGCATAGTAGTTGGAAAATGTGCTAAGTAAACAAAAATACACACTTTTTAATGATTAAAAAAAGCAAGCCACTGAAATCATAGTATATACTAAAAAGTAATGTTCTAAAGGGAAACATCAGCAGCCAATAAAGAAACCTCTAATATAAACACCACCTGTGTTGATTCTGCACTTGGACTGGGGTTGGATCCCCATGGGGCAGCCTTTGGACCACCAGTGTTAACCCAGGAATTGGAGCGATCTAAACCCTAAGCATATAATAGAAAGCAGTTGGAAAGGAAAGAAATATTACATGTTGCATGCTATAAATTATTCTTAAAGAAATTCAGATCTTCTATTGCAAACATGTTTTTAATTAGTACTGTTAAAGCAACCAAAATTTGTAGGCGCCTATAGAGTATTAGTTCATCAAAATTATCTTATTATACAACACAATTTTAAAAAATCACCAAGGCCATTAATATAGCATTTAAAGGTATTTTTTCTTTATGTAAAGGGATACTCTCGAAGTACCAATAATTAATGTTCCCATAGCACCACACCCCCAAACTTTCTTTAAATATAGTACAAGTTAGCAACAGATAATATCCTCTGTATCTAACTGAGGTTTAAAGGGAAAAAAGGAAGAAAAACATGCCATTCTTCAATATAAACTTTAATTTCATTCCATCTCTCATCAACTGAAAACTATGCAGTGATATACTCCATAATTCTATTTGACTTTGCCACCACCTTCACTCTCTTTTAGGGACAGACAGGAGAAATTAAGTAAAAACTTCAGAAAAAAAATGATACCTAATATTTACTCCTTCCTAATAATGTATTTTGGGTTGCATTTGTAATTAAACACAATGGGTCACTATTTTTTAAATAAATATTATAAGGAAAAACATTATGCTGGGGTGTCTATAGGAATTATATCTTCATCATCATCTTCATTAATTTAAAATTTCTTCAATACACTACTAAAGTATATGTCCAGAAGTGAATTATTTTATCTTTGTCTGAGAGGGGTTACTGTGATTCCAGGTGAAAGAAACAGAGGCTTTACTTCTATTTCCTCAAACTGACTGATCATCAGAATCACTTGAGAAGCTTTATAAAATTCAGATCCTGGGCTCTATCTCCGTTAATTCGATTCAGCAATTTGGACTGGGGACTTGAGAATCTAATAATTGGAACTGGAGCAGGTTGTAAAAGATTTTTAAAGAATTATTAGGGTAAGCATAGCAAAGAAAACTGAAGACAAGCTGACGTAAATATATCAGGGCATGAGTACGGACCCAAACCAGAAAGCACCAAAGGAAGAACAGGTAAAAGTAAAGCGTTGGAACAATTGTAATCAACTCTGTCTAGACATTAATGTCATTTGGGAAGCTTAACAACAGTAACACAACAAATGTGCAGTGCCCTACCTTAAAACAATTAAATGAGAATTGTTGTGAATACAGCCCAGACATCAGTATTTTTTAACTACTTCAAAAGAAGTTTTTAAAAAGCAAAGAAAGAAAAACTGTAACTCTCAAGGACTTAGGTTATAGAAGAATATTTCCTCTACTTTTTCTCATTTTTTTCCCAAATATATAGAGAAGTTGAAATGATGGCACAATAATCACGCATTTCTCATCATTTTTGATGCCAAAGGTCTAATACAGGAGTTAAGGTTCCAATCCAGGCTCTACTGCTTACTAGCTGTAAAATCTAAGATAAATTTCTCAACCTTTTTTTCAGTTTATTATCTATAAGATAAAAATGATGACAGTGTTTCCCTTCATATGGTAAGAATCAAATAATGGAAGTAAATTACTAAGTGCAATGCCCTGAATATACTAAACTCTCAAAAACAGTATTTATAAAATTTTCCATGCATATTTTTCTTAAAATGCTTTCTATCAAAGTAAATTAGACAATATCAAAATACTAGTAAAATTAGGCAATCAGATTTGTTTTAAATATTCACCTTCTCAGAACCCCATTACAATACTTCAAGTAAAAGCAAACCAAAAGGCACATGTTTTTCAGATAATTTTCATTCATCTCCAAAATTATGTCTTCTTTGTATAAAAGTGTAAAGTTCTTCCTGCCATATTCAATTGTTACAGTCACTACTCATGTTATAACAATAAGCATGAGCATTTGATTTTTGCAAAATTATAACTGTCCTCTTTTCTCCCATGAACTTCCACAAAAAGAATAACGACTTTGCTGTACTCTGAAATTCACTTAACTCATTGTTTAATTTCCTTTAAAACTACAATATATGATAATTGCTAACATGAGAATAAAAAAAATCTCTTTGTGGTACGAATTACAGTCATATACAGAAAAGTGACATTCTGAGCAGTTATAATCATATCAAAGCTAACTATTTAAAGAAAACTTGTAACCAGTTGTTAGGCAAAACAAGTAACTTCCATAATTCAGGCATTATAAAGCTAGCAATTCTATCTAACAGCCCATATTTAAGCAAATTCATCACTTATATTTAATATAATAACTTTATGTTACTGATTTTTTTTTTTTTTGAGATGGATTTCGCTCTTGTTACCCAGGCTGGAGTGCAATGGCGTGATCTCGGCTCACCGCAACTTCCGCCTCCTGGGTTCAGGCAATTCTCCTGCCTCAGCCTCCTGAGTAGCTGGGACTACAGGCACGCACTACCATGCCCAGCTAATTTTTTGTATTTTTAGTAGAGACGGGGTTTCACCATGTTGACCAGGATGGTCTCGATCTCTCGACCTCGTGATCCACCCACCTCGGCCTCCCAAAGTGTATGTTACTGATTTTGAACAAACATGGAACAGACTAACCAAATGTGTCCCCATGTATGTGTAAGTGTGGGATTTTTTTTTTTTTTTTTGCCAAATCCTAGTAACACTATTAATTTTTTCCCTTACATATAGATAAGATTCCAGTGCAAGGCCCATACTGTATTTGATTTGACATCAACTTGTGCTATATTACAAAGATTTTGCTTCGTATCCACAAGTACTCAGCATAGTGCCTAGCATATAGTAAGCTCTCAGTGTTTGAGAAATTAAAAAAAAAAAAACAGATGATATATGAGAAAGAAACATATCAATGCAAAATTCCACTGGCACTTGATTAAAACAATAAAGTTCAGACCTGATGTAACCATGTACTTACAAAACCGAATGTTAAAAGACTATTGCTAGAGCTAAGAAAGCATAGCTAGTTTTAGCAACATAAATATGAAGAAGTCTCACAAATATTTTTACATTTACATTACAGCCACTGGAGTAATCAAAACCTGTTCATGTTATTATAAATATTCTTAAATTTTAGGAGTTCTATATTTTATATGGGGGAATAAAATTAATCAAAATTTTCATAAAGTCAAATCTCTGCAGATCTTTAAATATATAATTAATCCCAATAGTAAGAGGGCAAACAAAAGCATAATTCAGTTCTTAAAAGGATGATTTAGTGCTGGGGTGTTTACTCATACTAACATATTGTCAATCGATAAATATGTACTGAGCACCTTGAATAAGTTAGACATTACAGATACTTTGGAACAAATATTCCCTGCCATCATGAAACTTAAATTCTGGTAAAGAAAGATAAACACTTAAAAAAATTAATTAATATGCTGTGAGACCAAAAAAAAAAGACAAAAAACAAAATAAGAGGGTTTGAAGTCCTACAGCCAAGGCTGAGGACACAGCCCCCGGTTACACATTTATATAAAATAATCAGAGTCAACCTCACTGGGAAGGTGGCCTTCAGAGTAAAGCCTTAAAGGACTGTGGGAGTAAGTCATTAGAGGATTGTCCTCAGAGGAATGACATAATGACTTAATTTTTGTGTGTGTCCTAAGTTTTTTAAAGCAACATTCTGGTTGCTATGTTGTGAACAGAGTGTGGGGTAGGAGTACAGAAAGCACCTTTAAAGCCAGTACATTAATTCTAGGAGAGATGATGATAGCTGAGACCAAGATGGAAGTAATGAAGATGTTAAGAAACATCTCTACCTTTCATATATATCCAAATCTGAACAAAGCGATTTAGAAAAAGCAGTAAGTTTAGAACTCCAGAGAGAAATATAATTGTGGGAGTCATTAGCATAACATTTATGTGGTATTTAAAGCCATGGAAACTGATAAGCTCACCAAGGTAGTAAGTGTAGAGAGAAGACAAGAAAAGAGAAATAAGGATGGAGACCTGGAACACATCCAGATAAAGAGATCAGAAAAGGAAGAATCCACAAAGACTGAAAAGGTATAATTAGTAAACCAAGAAGGAAATCAACAGTGTAGTACGCTGGAAGCCAAATAAATAAATCTCAGAGGGAAAAAAATTTAACTGTGTCAAAAGCTACTGGCAGGTAAAAGTAAGCTGAGTTCTGAAAATTAACTACTGGATTTAAGCAACATGAAGGGTGCTGGTGACATTAACAAGGACAGCTTTGGTGGAAAATGGGAGGAATATTTGACTGAAGTAAAGACGATGGGAGTAAAAGAACTGCAGATATCAAGTACAGAAAATTCTTAAGGAATTCTACTACAAAAGGTAGCAGAGAAAGAGCAAAGAAGGTAGCAGCTGAAATATTAGAGAATTATTATTTTTAATTTTTGTGGGTACATGGTAGGCACATGTATTTATAATTTTGTGTGTACATAGTAGGCATATGTGAGATATTTTGATAAAAGTATATCATGTATAACAATCACATCAGGATGAGTTGGGTATCCATCACCTCAACCATTTATCCTTTGTGATATAAAGAATCAAATTATACACTTCTAATTATTTATAACTAAATATATAATAAACATTATTTACTTATTTAATTGTACAAATCACCCTGTTGTGCCATCAAGTACTAGATTTTATTCACTCTCTCTATTTTTCTATACCCATTAACTATCTCCATTTCCCTTCTGACCCCAACTGCCTATTCCCAGCCTTTGGTAACTATCATACTACTCTCTATCTCCATGAGTTAAACTGTTTTAATTTTTAGCTTTTACAAATAAGTGAGAATATGTGAAGTCTGTCTTTCTGTGACTGGTTTATTTCACTTAACATAACAATCTCCATTTCTATCCTTGTTGCAAATGACAGGATCTCATTCTTTTTTTAATAGGTGAATAGTATTCCATTGTATATATGTACCACACTTAGTTTACCCATTCATCTGTTGATGGACACTTAGATTGCTTTCAAATGAAAGGAATTATTTTTTCAAAATGAGATAAATAACAGCATGCCTGTATGTAGATGGGAATGATTCAGTATTTAGGGAGAAACTGGTGATGTAGAAGAGATATAGAAAAACTGGTGGAGTGTAGATTCTGAGCAGGTGAGACTGGATGAGAGCATGAGTGACAGAGATGAATTCAGAAAAATGAATGGCTCATCTATTCATTTTTAATACAGTAGATAGTAGATGGCAATAGGTAGCTAGATATGATAGTAAAAGTTTATCAAAGTTTTCTTCCAATGGTTTCAGCTGTCTCAATTAAATAGAAGATAAAGTGAGAAAAGGAATGAGGGGAGAGGTGTTAGGGGGTTTGAAGTAACAAAAGAAGGAATAAAGTCATTTCCTGGGAGAACAGGAAAGTGATGGAGATAAAGAAATACAGTATAATTGCCCAATAGCATTAAGGGCTCTCTTGAGGTTGATTTCGAATAAGACCAATAACCGTGGTATTTTTAAAGACATGTTTAGCTGCACAGATGCTGACATGGCATAGGCAGTCAATTGAGTTTAACTATGGTTTCAGGTTTGGGAAAGATAAGGGAACCGAGGTTTGATTACAATGAGAATAATCTTTTTTCTTTTCTTTTGTTTTTTGAAACAGAGTTTCATTCTTGTTGCCCAGGCTGCAGTGCCATGGCGTGATCTCAGTTCCCTGCAACCTCTGCCTCCTGGGTTCAACTGATTCTCCTGTCTCAGCCTCCCGAGTAGCTGGGATTACAGGCACCTGCCATCACATCCGGCTAATGTTTGTATTTTTAGTAAAGACAGGGTTTCACCATGTTGGCCAGGCTGGCTTTAAACTCCTGACCTCAGGTAATCCATTTGCCTCAGCCTCCCAAAGTGCTAGGATTACATGCGTGAGCCATCACACCCAACCTGATAGAAATAATTATAACAATTGCCCAAAGACATTAAGCTGGCTAAGGAAGAAGAGAGAACATTAAGGGGGTGAGGCATAGTAAAAACATTGGAGGATCAAGATTAGAGATTGCAAAGGAGTAGAAATTGTTAGGTTGGGGTATTACAGAGAAAAACAGGAGACAGAGAACAAAACACATGAAATCGAGATTATGGTAATGACAAGATTGCAGGAGTGTCCAATCTTTTGGCTTCCCTGGGCCACATTGGAAGAATAATTCTATTGGGCATCACATAAAATACACTAACATTAACGACAACTGATGAGCGTTAAAAAAAAAAAATCCTAACAAACTCATAATGTTTTAAGAAAGTTTACAAATTTGTGCTGATCTGCATTCAAAGCTGTCCTGGGCTTCAATGTGGCCTGCAGGTCACAGGTTGAACAAGCTTGATAGAAAGTAAGACTATGGCTGAGGTGGGGTGGAAAACAAGTTGACTAAGAGTTTCTTGAACTGTCAGGTCAATAAAATAAGAAAAAATGAAGGGTAACTATAAATAAACTTTAGATTCCTTAAAATTTTGAGATAAAATTATACACCATTATTATTAGGGATTACAACTAAATGATAACCCAATATGAAGGTAGCTATCAAAAATTTTACAATAAAAAGAAAACAATATAAAAACCATTTAAGTAATTCTCACCCTGTAATAGCTTTCTCAGCAATTACCTTGTATTTACTTATTTGTATATATTTTTATATATATTTTAAAAATCATTGATCCATTTAAAAAACATCTTGAAAAAGGCAAAAAAATCATTATATATATAGGCCTCTTTGTTCTAAATCTTGAGTTTATAATCTATCAAATGTATAAGAAATAACTCTAGAATTATGCTAAATGAGTCCTAATGCAAATCTTACAAAATTAAGAGACATTTTTAAAGTAGAACCTTAAGGAAATGCTGTCTATAGCAACTTTTCTATAGTAAATTCTTGAAAATCCAAAAATCAAATTCATTCTACTGAAGAACTATGCAGTATATAAATATTCAGTATATAAATAATGCTAAGTACTACCTGTATTACAATAAAATATAATCAAGAATGAAAACAAGGATGAAAAAACCTGGGTTATTTTCTTAAACACAGAAATGTATGTATGTGTGTGTGTGTGTGTGTGTGTGTGTGTAAGGGGGAAGCTTTCTCTTTTTGCAGCTGCCACAGTACTCTGGTTACTCGGCAATATCCCTTATAAATAACTCTGAGCATCATTCTCTCTAGGAGTTTACAAAAAGGGAAAATTGTTTAATTATAGAAATATTTATATGGATCTTTAAGTTACTGAAACCCACGTTTTCTTATTTAAATCATAAGGCAGCAAAGTATATTTTTGATCTGTAAGAATAAATTATTTAATGAGCAATGCTTAATATGAATGAACATTCATTATGTAAATTTATTAATTAGAAGTTTCTATACAAACTATATATATTTCTGTAACTTTATAAGGCATAGTTAGTTCTGCCGTTTTTGATTAATGTTCAAGTATTTCACCTAACAAACAAACCCAATCAAGATCTTTAAATGTTCTATTATAGTTTAGATTAAAAGTTAAACATAGACCCTAGAACCTATTTATTAATCATTAATTCTTCCTCACAAATAAATTAATAGATTAAACTGCCAAAGAAAAGTTGGTTATCCTTCTGTAAGAATGACATCTTCCTCTTTTCCAATAGTAAAAAAAGTTTGAAACAGTCTGGTCAAAACACAGCATGACATGATTTCTTGGCCTCAGTCTTCCTGTATTTTTGTCTAGCTTGTTTAAACTCTGAGTTGTTTTTGTATTTTACATTCAGAAAGGCAATAACTACTTGTTCTGTGGGTATATTTTGGGGTAACAAAAAGATAAATGCCTGGAATAAAATATAGCTGGATCTTATACTACCTGGCCTTTCCCTTATTTTCCGGCATAATCACTAAACATCATTAAATAAATCATAGCTTTCTAATCCTGGTGTGCCTTACATAGGGTTTCACGTGAAATGTGGCTCTATTACCAACCAAGGTTAATCACTATTCTTGATTTTTTTAAAGAAGAGGATCTCATGATTTAATGATGACATCTATCTTCTACGTATCAGTCACACAGATCTCTTTTAATTCTATATTAACTCAATCTAGCCATTTTTTAGTATAAGACCAACAACAGTAAGTTATATGTGACTAGTGATCCCAAATTTTAGAAATTTTAGTATAGTAATTAACAGCAAGCATATTTAATAGAAAAACAAAACAGTGTTAATAAACTGATAGAACAAAAATGTACAATTCCTAGCTAATTCCTAACTTACATACATTTCAAAATTCAGAATAAATTAAAACAACTAGATAGTTCTCGATGATTCACAAAACAAAAACCAAATTTACAGACGCATGTCTTCAGTTTACCTTACTCCCGATGATTGACCGAACTTCATCATCTGGTGATGTGGGAGTCCCAGATATATCTGGATTGCTATTACTAAGGCTTCGAGAACGATTTAAATTAAGGCTTGCAGGTCTCACAGCAGATCTAGCCATTGTGGCATAATGCACTGATCCTCCCAAACCCCCAGGACCTAGAATTGCACATGAAATAGCACATAATTAAAGCAAATTGTCAGGAAAATATCTGAAAAATATCTCTGCCACTCTAAGAAATTCCACAAAGATCATGATTTGCTTTGGTTTCTAAATAAAAATTATTATACTCTTTCTTATTTTTTTAAAAGGCAGGCTCTTCTAAATAAAACATGTTATACTTTCTTTTTTTTTTTAAGAGGCAAGGGCCTTTTTTTCTTAAGAGGCAGCACTGGAGTGCAGCACTGAGACCACAGTTCACTATAAACTTGGATTCCTGGACTCAAGCAATCCTCCCACCTCAGCCTCCTGAGTAGCTAGGACTACAGGCACACACCACCATGCCCAGCTAAATTTCTCTCTCTTTTTTTGTAGAGACAGGGACTTGCTATATTGCCCAAGCTGGTCTTGAACTCCTGGACTCAAGCAATCCTCCTCTCTTGGCCTCCCAAAGCATTGGGAAATTTTTTTAGAAAGAAAGAAAATAAAAACACTCAAGAACTAATGATTACTGTACAAAGATATTCTATTTTACAGTAGTTTATAAAATCGTATGAACTGTAAATAATCATTATCTCTTCAGTGTTTCTCTGTATATTACAGATACAATAAAAACCAAAACTAATAGGAAATACACATACACACACACACACACACACCTTTCACTTCAGTATAGTTGGTATTTAGGAACCAAGATGCTCCAGCTGGTATCTCTTCCTTTTTTCCCACCTCTCCTACTCTGCCCCTTGACATTCGCTAGTGAGAGCACCAATTTATTGCTAACATCTCTTATATTAAACCATGTTTTATTTCTCTACCTTCATTATTGCTAACATCCTTTAAGTGACAGCATTTTATTTCTCAATCTTCATCAGTGACAATGTGAATAACAAAATAGTATCTTATTATATACATATAAAAAACTAAAGATAATTTTAAGATCCCAAGTGATATAAAAAAGCAAAGACCCCCTTTTTGTCTGACTAAAATCAAGTCTAATACCATCTTCCAACCTGTCTTTTATCTTTAAAAGATGGGATCTCACTCTGTTGCCCAGGTTGGAGTGCACTGGCAAGATCATAGCTCACTCCGCCCTATGAACACAAAAATATCCAGCAATCATAGTGATAATCTATCTTCATCTTTCTGAATGTCATATTTGCAAATGATATTAATACATACCTATTACCTAATTAATTCATGCAATCTTTCAGGTCAGCATGTAAAAAAAAAAGTTTTGTATAATCTGTATAATTCTAATAGTGTACTGAATAAAGAGTAAATGGAGGAGCACTGTAGATATTACATAATCACTCACACACTCCTGTCAAGTGATATAATTTTAAAAATCAAGATAGGAAATTATAAACCAGAATATAAAAGTCAATTGCTTTTCTTTTTGCAATTAAGAAAATAAATTGGGCTAAAACTTAAAATCGTGTTACTATTATGCCTAGTTTTCAAATGAATGTCACAATTATTAGTCACCATTACCAATATTAACATTCCCAACAGCTGATAAAGGGCACTTACCATTATCATTAGTGTCATAGAGACAAATATATGAGTTGAGGCTCCAACACTCAGAAAGGTTATATTATTTCACTGACCACAAAGAGATCAGAACTTTTCTAAAGAACAATCTTTTATATCATTGTAGGTTTGAAAGGGTTTTTAGGAAACTACCAAGCCACCACATTTCTTTTTTAATGCCCTACAGCATTCTAGATGGCAAATATAAGATTCTATTTTTCTTGTCTTTTTTATTTTTAAAAGATAGAATCTCACTCTGTTTCCCAGGTTGCAGTGCACTGGTAATATCATAGCTCACTCTGGCCTCGAATTCCTGGGCTCAGGAGATCCTCCCACCTCAGCCTCCTAAACAGCTGGGATTACAGGGGCAAGCAAGTCCTTATCTTAACAAGGAATAATAAAATGCTTCCCAAGACAAAGTTATTTTCAAAATTTATTTCAACCAAGAATTCTAAAACAAACTAAAGAAAATTGTATAAAAAAAATGATGCCTAAAAATGTAACTTATTTATCCCTTTAACTTCAGCACCTAAGCATAGTGGATGTACGTAGCAGGTGTTCAATAAATGTTTGCTACTGAATAAATGCATCACAATACGGACTACAAAATTATCTCAATACTGACATGAATTCATAATTTATGAAAGACAGTTTCATAGTAAAAAGAATAAAATACCTGGTGAAGATGAATTAGGGTAAGTATTTGGTAGGCGGAAAACATAATAAATATATGATGCAAGAAGGCTGTTTCTGCCATGCTGGTCATGATTTCCTTCCAAGTTTTTGTGAAGTCGATTTATAATTGATGCCATGGCTTCAAAAGATGCTTGACCTAGATTAACTTTTAAGAAAGAAGAAAATACCTTTAACTTTAGACTGTAAATTTCACAGAGATAAGTTTTGTCATCTCTACATACTTTAAGTACAGTGCTTACATAGTAAGTGTATAAAGATGATTATGATTTGATATCAACTTTTAATGACACCTTGGATTAGCTAAACCAAAAATACTTTCCTGAACAAAATGAGAAAAAACTCATTTTACTAATTTAAGATGAAAATTATATGGGTTTGATTCGTCAAAAAAGAAAACAATGTTCAACAGATATCTATTATTTAGTAGAACAATACAAAGTACATGATAAGAAAAAAGAAAATTCATCATGTGTAATACCTTGAGAAGCAATTTCTCATTTTAAAGATTACTCCAAAAATCTAAACAGCATACAAGGGCAAACATATATTACTTTTGTTTAAAAAGAATTAAAAATATCAACAACAAAATGGATTATTGAAAATATTAACAGTATAGTAAGAAAAGATGACTAAGAAACTTGATTGGAATGAGTGTAAAAGGATTAGAAGAAAAAAAAGGTCTAGAAAAACAGGTTGAGGTAAGACTATATATCATTTTAAATGCCAGGCTAAGCAACATGTACTTGGTCATTCAAGTCAGTATATAACAATAATTTTACAAAAACTGGGAAATTGTGATAGATAGCACACTGAATAAATGGGTAAACTGAACAGCCACTTTGAGCAATAGGGTCTGAGAGTCTATGATTTATTTAATCAAGACAGGAAATTATGAAGAGATAATGAGGCCAATTAAGTTTTCCCAAAAGTGGAATAACCAGATAAAATGGTCATTTAGGAAGATTAATCTATATATATTGAACTAGAAGGGAAAGGGGCTAGAGATAGAAACCTGAGTCAAGTTAAGTGATTCTACCTGAGTTTCTGGTTAATCCTTTTCCTTTTTCTCACAGTAGCTACTCCAAGTTACCAGAATCCTTCTCAAAATTCAGGTCCTCTTTAATCCCTTCTTAGCAATCTTGCCTTCTATCTTACAGAAAAAATATAGAAAGCATGAAAGTCCTCATGTTTTTCTTTTCTTTTCTTTTTTTTTTAAAGAGATGGTATCTTCCTATGTTGACAAGGCTGGGTATGGCCTAGCCTCAAGCAATCCTCCCATCTTGGCCTCCCAAAGTGCTGGGATTACAGTTGTGAGCCTCTACATCTGGCCAAAAGTCCTCATATTTTCCTACAAATTTATCAGAATCTGAAAATACTTTATATCCTCTCCAAAGGAAGTAGTGCCCTCTCTTATGTAAGAGTGATCTATCACATTCACTCTTGTCTCACAGAATTTTTATTAATTCCTTTCTCCCCATGTATTTTTCTCCCTTGAGCATGTTTACATGCTGATTTCTCTCAGCATGTTTACATGCTGAAATGTTGCCACTCTTTTGCCCTACTCAACCCTGCTTTCTCTTCTAACTTAAAAGAGTAGTATATGCTTCTTGTATTTATTTTACCATCTACTATTTGCTTCTTAATTCCCTGTAATCTGGTTTCTACCTTCACTTAGACTAAAACTACTGTTGTTAATTTCATGAGTAGACATTTCTCAAGTATACTAGATAAGAGAGAGACTCTGAAACCAGTCTGAATCTTGGCTTTCAAATATAAATAAAGCACATAGCACTACTCCTGGTACACAGTAAACGGCATGCAAGTGTTTTCAATTACTGTTATTACTATTATTTTAGTTATCTACAACAAAGAACAATGCTAACTTTTTCTTTCCTTAAAACCTTCTTCTTCTATAATTTCTGTGACTGTATACTCTATGATCTCATAAACCATTACCTCTTCTCTATCCCACTGTCACCTACGTTTTAACAGTAACTCATCATTTTTTGTATGAAATTCTGTAAGACTCCTAATTTGTCTCCCTGCCTGCAAGTTTTCCCACTTTTAACTCATCTCTACATACCATAGCCATCTTTTTCTAGTCAAACTTGGTCAAGTTACTTCCCTAACTAAGACCAGATCCTTTAAAGGTTATTTATTCCCTACAGAAAAATAGTCCCAATTTCCTAGTGTGGAAGACCCAATTTCATCTCCCACTCTCCATATTACCTCAAATCAATTTATAACTAATTACATATACTTCCTCCCCCAAATTCATTCTGTGTACTATGCAAGTGATGTTTCATCTCCTTGGAATAATATTTACCTGTCAGACTCCTATTCATCTTCAAATACTCAACCCAGGAATTACTTCTATTTTATAAGTCGCCCCTAAAAAAACTCAAGTAATTGAATATTCCTCTCCTTTGTGCCACTACTCAAACATAAAAATTCTATCTGGTTAGCTGAAAATTCTTTCAACTTCCTTGCAGGATTTTGGTGAAAGCTACTGGCAAAAGTTAAGGCATAAACCTTGAAAAAGGACGGAAATGAAGAACACCTTTCCTTCCAGAATTACAGAAAAGAAAAAGAGAATACAGAGACTTTGAGTAAATGAAGAAGAGCTACATTAAGTGGAGGAAAGTAGATGAATGAAAATGTAGAGTAGGTAGATTATACATCCTGTAAATTACAACATGATTTACCTGTTTGCCTGTTTTCTTAACTAGCCTGTGAGATCTTAATGTCAGAAACCATGGCCTGAACAGTGCCTCTCAGTGTCAGGTACATAGTAAGTGCTTACTAATATTTGGTAAATAAATAAATAGTTTCTCTAATTTGAGTATATATCTATAGGACACATTTTATGAAAACTAAAGTCATCATTTTCTGGCATTATAAACAAGTAAACAACATCCTCCACCCCAAACCAAATGTAGTCCTTACATATAGCAAATAGAAATCATGGTTCTTTTTTTCTTTTTTTTTTTTTTTTTTTACAAAATTTAAAAATGTCAAGTTATAAATTTCATGACTCATCCCCAAACAAAAGTAAATTACCTATTTGGCCAGCAATGACAGGAGGTCTAACAACTAAAAGTATCAATTTATCTAGCAGAAGATGAAGAAATCGGACCACTGGTTCCAACTGAGATGTATTCAGTGCTGAAATACTGTTCTTCAATTCATTTTCTAAGTTATTTTCCATGATTCGCATGTCCCCAATTCGTACGGGGAACATGTGTTCATCCAGAGCATTGACCAGAGCAAAAAACTTGTCAAGATAAGGATCCTAAAACAAAGAATGAACAAAAGCACTAAGCACTTATAACTATAAATTTCCCAATTCTAAAGGACCACAGACCACTAGTATGTAATATTAATCGGTAACACTAAAAAGTTCACGAGTATACAAACATTGTTTCCAGTTAAATACATCTATTTAAATTTATTATAAAATGATCACTTCAAATACTATTAGTTACTTAAGGAAATTACTGATACTAACTAAGAATTTTGTTTTGTTTTGTTTTAGTTTTAGTTTGCTTTATTAGTTTGGAGTTCAATAATTGTGGCAGGTACATTAGTAACCTACTTTTGTCCATTATTAATTTATTGTCTTTCAGCTCCAGAGCCTTTGGATACAAGGCAAACTCATCGCCATATCTTACAATCCTGGAGTCACTCTTTTATTGGAGTCTACCTGTGTACAGCTAAATAAAATTTATATACTATCAACTTTTTTCCTAAGGATAGCATAGAGGTGCTGTGTCTTCTTATTTCCCCCTACCTCACTGTGCAGAAAACAATTAACATACTGGGCTTAAGACAGCTATTCTTTGAAAGTCCTGTTTATGAGTTTGGCCTTGGGCTAAATGACTGGGAACTTACATTTCAGGGGAGTTCCCATTGACTCACTGTGCCTAAACTGTTTGTGCAGACGATATGGTATAAGCTATGCAAACAATATGGTATAAGCAAACAATATGGCATTAGGCTCACTGTGCCTAAACTGTGCAAACAATATGGTATAAGCTGAACACCTACTTTCCTTCTGGGAATCTGAAATATTGGTACATGTTAGGCAAAGGGTGCCTATGTGACAAGCCACTAGTAAAAACCCTGGGAATTGAGTCTGTACTAAGCTTCTGTGGCAGACAACATTTCACATATGTTGTTTCAACTTGCCCCATGTGACCAATGAGAGAGGATTCTTGGAAGTTTATTTTTGTTTCCTCTGGACTTCACCCCATTAGCCTTTTACCTTTGCTAATTCTGCTTTCCATTCTTTCACTAAAATAAATCATAGCTGTGAGTATGACTATATGTTGAGTCATGTAAGTCCTCCTAGCAAATCACTGAACCTGAGGTGGCTCTGGGAAGCCCTCCACACCACCCTTTCCCTTTATAGGCTAGTGAAGCCCTGAATTTCATTTTAAATACTTGCTTCTTCTCGGTCTACATATTTATCCTCCATGGAAAATCACATTTATCAATATAGTTTCAGCTATCACACTTTTTCCATCATCTCCAAACCTAAACTCCAAACTAATTACAACCACCTACAGGATACCTCCATCAGAAGTACATAGGCACTTCAAACTCAACACGTTCAAAAATAAACTCAGAGGTACCATAACTCCTTTCCCTTAGCATGGCCCCAAATGTACTTCTCTCATGCTCTCTATTTAGGGTAGAAATTACCATCTACCTGGACTGATTTCCTATGTATCATGATTTCCTATGCACTTTAAACTACTATATCACATCAGGTTACCTGCTGGTTCTTAGACTACTGTAACTCTGCACTTGCTACTCATCAGCTGAGTTGCCCACTCTCCCTTTCTGTGTGTAGTAAATGCAGGACTTTCAAAGAATGCAACATCTCAGTCCCTAGAAAAACAGGTAACTATTCCCTCTGTACTTTAAACAATTTAGTTAATACATGTAACTTTGTACTAATTTCATCATACTTTTTACACTTTCCCATGTAACATTGTAAGGTTTTTGAACCAAAAGCTATCTCCTCAACAGGTAACATCTCTGATCTCATGGAACTTACAGTCTAATGAGGGAAAGAAACAATAAACAAATGTTTTGTATGTGTGTTATACACACACACAAACGGAAAGAATGACAGAGTCAAAGTGCAACAGAGAAGCTGGGCGTAGGCAGTAATAAGTGCACAGGTAAGATGACACACAGTAATGAAGGTACTGTGTTTAAAAGTAACCAAGGAAGACCTCTCTGAGGGGAAGATAAACTCTAATTCATAAGTCAAATGAATACCAGGAGGAAAAGCACTGCAGGCAGAGAAAGGATGTATAAAACCTATTAGAACTTGGTATGTTCCAAAAATAAGGAATTTGGAACAAATAATCCCTAAAAATTCTTTCCATTCTCCAAGCCTATGAGAAATAAAGTAAGCTGATGATGGTTTCTCAATTCCAATTATTCTGCCATGTAACAGAAACTTAGAAAAAGCAAGTCACTTAACTGTTCAAAATGAAGTCAATAACGTTTTGAAAAACAAAATGTTCACTTTTGTTGACATTCAATATTTTGTTGATTCTTTTTAAAAATGTTCTAAATATTGTATGTTTTTAACTGACATATTCTCATATATCTGATAGCAATTACAGATTTATGATAGGTAACAAAACTGGCATCACAAGTATCAGATAATATGTTCAATTTAAGTTACATCTGATAATAAAAATGATTAACTCACTTGTGTATGGACAGATGAAACAGCAACAACTTCCACATTAAAAACACCTTTGTGATTATCTACCCATTTCATGCCAGGTAGAGGAACCTGTAAGATATTAAATATAATGATCACAGATGCTTAAGTAGATTGCGAACTCTGAAAAGAAACAAAATTTACAATATCCCAGCGAGAAAAATATTGTGAAAATATATTTTTATTCACTGTAAACAAATTAAGAACTTCTACATTTCATTCTTATTTTAAAATCAAGAAATGCTTGATACAAAAGAACTATCCAGAAGCAAAAAGCATAAATTAATAAACACAAAATTTCTATCTTCCCAAAGACATATCCCCTTATATCATTCTAAATCTTCATCTATGTATACATATTTATATACACATTCATATAGTTAACAACAAACATCTTATTTTGAAACCTGTTTTTCATTTATTATATTGTGAATCTCTTCATGTCATAAATTCAAATTTACAATATCATTTTAATGGATTATAATATTTCACTTATTTTAAACATTCCTATTATTTTTTAACTGAGTCTTGAAATATTTGCAAGCAAAAAAAGCCTGTTGGTTTATGTATTCAAAAACTTTATTTTTTTTTTTTTTTGAGATGGAGTTTCACTTTGTCACCCAGACTGGAGTGCAGTGGCACGATCTTGGCTCACTGCAAACTCTGCCTCCCAGGTTCAAAGGATTCTCCTGTCTCAGCTAATTTTTGTATTTTTAAAAGACAGGGTTTCACCATGTTGGCCAGGCTGGCCTTGAATTCCTGACCTCAGGTGATCTGCTCACCTCGGCCTCCCAAGGTGCTGGGATTACAAACCACCACATCGGGTCGAAAACATTTTTTCTGACATAAATTGCTAGAAATGTCTAAGTTATTTCATTAAAAATAACTTTTAAAATAAAGTACATAAATTCTCTCTATTCCTTTTGCTAAGTACAGCTAAAAACTCTGAAACCTGACATATAAATGAACATAAAGATTCTGAAAGGTAGAGAAAAAAAGGATGATGGGCCAGGATCTCAGGATGTAAGAAACTACGAGTCAGCATTTTCTGGGTTTTGCTTTTGCCTCACATATCCTGGACTGAGTGCTAGAGAGGCTGGCAAGCCAGGATTGCCAAAAGAAGAAGAGAAACAAAGCCTCAAGAAAAGCATGTTCTCTCTGGCCAAAGACATTAATATTCCAGCTAGTTCCAAGGGAACAAATCTTGGCCCCACTTCCCGCCTCCCTACACTAAATGGAGAGCCTAGGGTGCCACCTTTAGCTGCCTGAAATGAGGTACCCCTCTTCGCAACCAACCCCACACACATGGGGGTGCTATCAAAGAAGACAGAGTTGAGATTCTGTCCCTTTTCTGGTGATAATTAGCCCCCAACCAACAAAGGTGTCAGTGGAGGCCATGTGGAGCAGTAACAAGGTGGCCCCTCTCCCTCACTACCAGGAAGGGGTCAGCAAAGGCCTCGTGGGGAGCATAAAATCCCATCTTCACCCAGTAATGAGCCCCCTCACTGGATCCACCCAAGAGAGTAAAATCAGGCAGAGTAGGTACTGTTGACCTTCACCTCTCTCTGACAGCAGCACCTCCCTCCCCAACTGCTAAAATAGACTATTTCAGTAAGATCTAGAGTCTCATGAGTAATTAAAAATTATTCATCATACCAAGACCAGGAAAATCTCAACTGAAATGAGAAAAGACAATCATTGGACACCAATACTAAAATGACATAGATGCTTCATGGACCTCACAAGGATTTTAAAGCAGACATCATTAAAAATGTTTCAACAAGCAATTACGAATAGCTTTTAAACAAATGAAAAAAAAAAAACACAGACTCGCCAAAACAAAAAAAAAATTATAGAAAAATACAAGAGGGAGACTCCGCCACAGAACTTAGCCGGTGGCAGAGACGGCAGCAGAACAGCAGAGCCTGCAGCAACAGGGCGAACCACACAACAGCCGGGTGGCGCCTCGGAAGACAAACAGTGGCTAGTCCTGGGCAGGACACCTCAACGGACATCCAAAAATAAAGCCCGAACCCCCAACACAGAGCATTTGAGAAAAAAAGAGTTTTTTTAATGAGTTCTGTTGCAGCAGAATAAAACATAGCAGCCTAACAGCCCTGAATGAACAAGAGAGCTCACAGCTCAGCAATTGAGCTCCTATAAAGTACAGACTGTCTCCTCAAGCAGCTCCCTGACCCCTCTATATCCAAAAGACTGACATTTGGCAGGCATCATCCTGGGACAAAGATAGCAGAAAAAGAAACTGCTAGCATCCCTCACTGTGCCACAGCTGCTATAGGTGCACCCCAGACTAGCAGGGCCTGGAGTGGACCTCAGCAGTCGTACAGCGAAGGGGCTAGACTGGTAGAAGGAAAACCAAGTAACAGAAATACTTCATCATCAACAATCTGGGTGTCCAATCAGAGACCCAATCGAAAAGTCAGCAACTACGCAGACAACAAGCAAATAAATCCACAAAGATGGGAAGAAACCAGCGCAAAAAGGAGGAAAACACCCGAAACCAGAACACCTCGCCTCCTAGAAAGAACCAAAACTCCTCACCAGCAAGGGAACAAAGCTGGACGGAGAATGACTGTGATGAAATGACGGAATTAGACTTCAGAAGGTGGATAATGAGAAACTTTTGTGAGCTAAAAGAACATGTATTAAATCAATGCAAAGAAACTAAGGAACTTGAAAAAAGATTTGAGGAAATGATAACAAGAATGGATAACTTAGAGAGAAATATGAATGAATTAAAGGAGCTGAAAAACACAATACGAGAACTTCGCGAAGCATGCACAAGTTTCAATAGCCGAATTGACCAAGCAGAAGAGAGAATATCTGAAGTCGAAGACCAACTCAATGAAATAAAATGAGAAACCAAGATTAGATAAAAAAGCGCAAAAAGGAATGAACAAAGTCTCCAAGAAATGTGGGACTTTGTGAAAAGACCTAACCTACATTTGATAGGTGTACCAGAAGGGGATGAAGAGAATGAATCCAAGCTGGAAAATATTCTTCAGGACATCATCCATGAAAATTTCCCCCACCTAGCAAGACAGGCCAACACTCAAATGCAGGAAATACAGAGAACACCACAAAGATATTCCGCAAGAAGAGCAACCCCAAGGCACATAATCGTCAGATTCAACAAGGTTGAAATAAAGGAGATAATACCAAAAGCAGCCAAAGAAAAAGGTCGGGTCACCCACAAAGGGAAGCCCATCAGACTCACAGCAGATCTCTCGGCAGAAACACTACAAGCCAGAAGAGTGTGGGGGCCAATATTCAACATTCTTAAAGAAAAGAACTTTCAACCCAGAATTTCATATCCAGCCAAACTGAGCTTCAGAAGTGAAGGAAAAATAAAATCCTTTGCAAACAAGCAAGTACTCAGAGATTTTGTCACCACCAGGCCTGCTTTACAAGAGCTCCTGAAAGAGGCACTACACATAGAAAGGAACAACCAGTACCAGCCATTCCAAAATCACACTAAATGCTAAAGAGCATCAACATAATGAAGAATCTACAACAACTAACAGGCAAAACAGCCACTTAGCATCAAAATGGCAGGATCAAATTCACACATAAAAGTATTAACCCTAAATGTAAATGGACTAAATGCACCAATCAAAAGACACAGACTGGCAAATTGGATAAAAAGCCAAAACCCATCAGTGTGCTGTATCCAGGAAACCCATCTCACATGCAAGGATACACAAAGGCTCAAAATAAAGGGATGGAGGAAGATTTACCAAGCAAATGGACAGCAAAAAAAAAGCAGGAGTTGCAATTCTCATCTCTGATAAAATAGACTTTAAAGCAACAAAGATCAAAAGAGACAAAGAAGGCCATTACATAATGGTAAAAGGATTGATACAACAAGAAGAGCTAACGATCCTAAACATATATGGACCCAAGGCAGGAGCACCCAGATACATAAGGCAAGTTTTTAATGACTTACAAAGAGACTTAGACTCCCACACAATAATAGTGGGAGACTTTAACACTCTACTGTCAATATTAGACAGATCAACCAGACAGAAAATCAACAAGGATATCCAGGGCTTGAACTCAGACCTGGAGCAAGCAAACCTGATAGACATTTACAGAACTCTCCACCCCAAATCCACAGAATATACATTCTTCTCAACACCACATCACACCTACTCTAAAATTGACCACATAATTGGAAGTAAAGCACTGCTCAGCAAATGCAAAACAACTGAAATCATAACAAACAGCCTCTCAGACCATAGTGCAATCAAGTTAGAACTCAGAATTCAGAAACCAACCCAGAACTGCACAGCTTCATGGAAACTGAACAACTGGCTCTTGAATGTTGACTGGGTAAACAATGAAATGAAGGCAGAAATAAAGAAGTTCTTTGAAACCAATGAGAACGAAGACACAACATGCCAGAACCTCTGGGACACATTTAAAGCAGTCTCTAGAGGAAAGTATATAGCAATAAGTGCCCATAGGAGGAGAATGGAGAGATCCAAAATTGACACCCTATCATCAAAATTGAAAGAGCTAGAGGAGCAAGATCAAAAAAACTCAAAACCCAGCAGAAGACAAGAAATAACTAAGATCAGAGCTGAACTGAAGGAGATTGAGACACGAAAATCCCTTCAAAAAATCAATAAATCCAAGAGCTGGTTTTTTGAAAAGATCAACAAAATAGACAGACCATTAGCCAGATTGATTAAAAATAAAAGAGAGAACAACCAAATAGATGCAATAAAAAATGATCAAGGGGAAATCACCACAGACTCCACACCATCATCAGAGAATATTACAAACAACTCTATGCACATAAACTAGTAAACCTGGAAGAAATGGATAAATTCCTGGACACTTGCATCCTCCCAAGCCTAAACCAGGAGGAAGCTGAAACTATGAATACACCAATAACAAGGTCAGAAGTCGAGGCAGCAATTAAGAGCCTACCACACAAAAAAAGCCCAGGTCCAGATGGGTTCACAGCCGAATTCTACCAGACACACAAAGAGGAGCTGGTACCATTCCTTCTAAAACTATTCCAAATAATCCAAAAAGAGGGAATC